TTTTTCATTTTAGTTATTGTGTTTTTATTATTGTAGCCCAGTGATGTTAGGTGTGGTCATTATAATCTCCTCCCCTGGACAGGCTGTATGAGTAGTCTATCAGGTATGGACACATGTACATGTACATTAATTCCAGTACATGTATCTTCTCTAATGTATTATTTCTTTTATGTATTTCCCATTTCCTATTCAATGTATTTATCTCTCTTTCTTTCTCTTGATAATTTTTAAGTGATAATTTTCAATGTTCTACATGTACATGTACAATGTACATATTGTCTTTTACTAGTTATTATTTCTTAATTCTTCTTCACGTAATAAATGTATCTTTCTCTCACTAATAATTTATTTTTAAGTGTCCATGTTCTTTTAAGTGTCCTATATGTTCTCAGTGTTCTCTCATGAGTATATACATAATGTATTCTGTTATCAGTATTATTGATGTATGTGTCTCATTTATCATTTATTGTAGGTACTCCGACTAACAGTAAACTGATATACCTCCCAACGGTCATTGTAATGGTCTCAAGGATGCCTTACTTTAGACTCTTGAAGGAAGCACTATCTGGGTAAGGGATTATAGTACATGTATTATACAAAAACCACTTTTGTATGATTCTGTGCTTGCTCAATGATGCATGGCTCCAGAATGTCAATATAACAACTGTGAATATTAATTTTTAACAAATCCATTAGCTCCTCCCAATGCTTCCCATTATACTATACAATACATGTACATGTACAATTACTGCATGTACTGTACATGTACAAATGTACTTGTATAAGTTTTTATAAACTACATGTATTATTTATAATGATAATGTGGTTCTTATTGTAGTATGTATAGACTGTTATCTGAGGAGGAGAGGGAGGACTCATTTTGGGAAAAAATTATGTTGTAATCATTAAAGGCTCTAATTCTTAGCGATAAAAATATAAAGCAGTAAAATTTATACTAAAATTAATGTATCACTCCCAATGGATCATTGATGGTAGGTATGTGTCTGAAAGAATATGGAAAATTTAGTGTCTCAAAGCAAAAATAACTCCGAGGCCATTAGCTGTGCATGGCACACTACAGTACACTGTATGTACATGTACATGTACAGTACAAGACGGGACAAAAGCATTATATCTGAAATTTGGGACAATTCCCAAACTAACTACATCAATTGAATCATATGCATGTACATGTAGATCTACCCACACACATTAACCAACAGTACCGGCACTATCATGTATATACATTGTATCAGTACATTACTAACACAATATGTACAATACATTAATTATATACTTTATTGATAGTATATACTTACTGGAGTCCTACGAGTAGCCATTCCTAACAAAAGAGAGCGAAAGAAAATGAGAAAAGAACTTAAAGAAGCGAGAAGCTGAAGTCAGCAGGTTTAGGGCGTGTCCGACAATAATATTGTAGGTGTGGACTAGATCTACCCGCGTGAATACACGTGGGTTGACTGTGCTGCAATTAAGTACTAAAGACTGCAGTGATATCATCCTCTGAAGACTTAATAATAATACTCAGTGTGAGTCTCTGATCCATTGGAATGAAACTACTATTCAACATTCATGAACTTTCTATTAGGATCCATTTTATACACCTGTCATTTTACATAGAGGCACGTGGGCTAACTGGACAGTGATTTGTAGGCATGACTTGGCAACATTTAGACAGTTCACAATGAAGTACATATTAACTAGTTACTGATAATATAAATTATAATTTATTGAAATGTTTATATGTGTACTCATTTTGTGTAGAAAGTTTGAGCTGATTTTGATCAAAATAGATTTTTAAAGTTGCCGTTAAAAGTCCCTGTACTAGGACAAGCCAAATTTCGCCAAAATAATTATAATAGGAGGAAATTTTGCATTTTTATTTAATTTTATGATACAAATACTTGTACTTCTATTGCATAGAAAGTTTAAGCTGATTCCGACCAAAATGGATTTATATGAATTTATAAAGTTGCTCTAAAATTGGCTAAAAGCCACTGTACTAAATTTTTAAAGTTGCTGAAATTACTGTTTTCCTTCCATTAGTTGGGCATGATTTTTGTAGAAAACCATGGACTATTAGCATGTGTTTCTTTTGATTTTTTTTGAAAATTTACTACTTTTAATATGGCTATAAGTCAACAATTAATTGTTGGAATCAACTCTATGTCAGACTTTGTTATTCAATAAAGTATCATTAATCATGTCTTATTATTTATTATAGGTTGTGGACCTGAGGCTGAACTCATCATTTCAAGGACTGATCTCTCATTCATATACTGAAGATCTATAAACTGGGTTTAGGAACTAAGGACTGTAACACTATAAGACTGGTTTAATTAATTAAAATCATTGTTGGCTTGTACTCTTTATGTATGGCTGAAATGTTTCTTATTTTAGTGTCATTTTTCATGATTTAATCTCATTTCTGTTTATAAGTCATTGCACCCGCTTCTGCATTAATGGCTCTTGCAATAATTTTAATCAAAATTCACAATAAACAATGATAAAAAGACAACTTTGTGTATTAAACAAAAATGATAAAATTATAAACAATAATGTTATGTAATTCTTTATAGTCTTCAGTTAATGTACAGCTTCAAACAGCAAACAATTAACCTATAGCAATGACAACATATTTAACAATACTATACTTAAGATACTTCTCAATGTAGTCTTCAATAGCAGAGAATAGTACTTATCCTCTTAGTGTCATTAACCTAACAATGGAATGTAATTCATCATACATAGTTACTGTTAGTATCTATTCTTCTTGTATGTAGTGCTCTTAGCATCACTAGCAGTAGTAACCACTAGTGATCCCAGGCAGTGTCACGTGGAGGCAGCACTACATTGCTCCCACACTAGAACAGAGAACAATATAATTATATTGACACATACCTAATGTACTTGAACCTTTAACAGGAACTTGCTATAACCTTAGGAAAGAGAAGGTTAATACATGACACATACTGTAAGATATGTCCATTTTTAAATATCTGAACGTTTGATTTTGGAGAGGAAATTTTTAGTAAATTTGGTATTTTGATAATAGCAAGAGTGGATAATTATTTAGGGAGAGTGTCTAACCCGCCTATATTCTGTGATACCACAGTGCGTAAGTTTACATAGCATGGTTATTAGCACCAAGTAGCCATTCTTGCATCCTTATACTAATTCCAAGTCAGAAAGCTGCAAATAAGAAAGAGCCAACCAATAGAAGAACATATTCCCATCTGCTCCTGCTTGTTTCTCGCACTACATGATCCTCAGAGTGGAGATATAAGTCTTAAAGTTGCCTGCATGCTTCAAAGCCATTCACCAAAATAAAACCCACCATTATGAACCATTATGTACACATGTACATGCTCAATGGGACATGGACACAAATTAAAACACACCAAAATTTAACAGTTCAACAAATGCCACAACTTCAATTTACCAAAAGTATGCAAGTTTGGATAATTTTAATTGCATTAGGTAGCTATTTAAAAACTGATTTATGAAGCACAAAATTGAGACACATCAAATGTCCATTATGTACATGTACATGTATTTACCAGTGAAAGTGTGAGGAGCAGTTAGGACATGTAACCACATCTTCACTAAACCTGAACAACAGATCCCTTGAATGACAAACACCACATCCTGTACTATTAGCTGAACATTTCTACATAAAAATATTACACGATAACACATTACTACTCACATGTACATCATGCATGACTACCAATAGGAGGGGGCAAGAGGGAATTAGCAATAGGCACCCAATTAAAGGGGCCCCCAGTCTCAGGTTTATTGTGAACTCTTGGGGCTTGGGGGGCCTAATACAAACTTTAAAATACAACTTTCAATATTGATGAGATACATAATAGTTATAAAACAGTAAAGAGTGCTGTATGGCTGATAACGTCACAAGGGGTGGAGTCGAGACAGCCAATACAGCTACGTGTATAGCTTTGGAAATTTTTGGAATTTTTTGAAATGGCTGTAACTTGAAAAATTGAAGTAGGAATCACCTCAAACTTTCTTCACAGCATAAGGACAGTAATATGTATCAGATAATGTAATAAAAATTTGGGGTGATTTTTTGGCCATTTTTTGGAAAAAACCATGGACTACAGCCTTGGGTATTTTTCAGATTTTTGGCGTTTTCTTAAGGCCGTAACTTGAAAAATTGAAGTGGGAATCATCTCAAAATTTCTACACAGCATAGGACATCAATATGTATCAGAGAATGTAATAAAAATTTTGAGTGATTTCGGAGCCATTTTGTGGAAAAAACCATGGGCTATAGCCTTGGGTATTTTTCAGAATTTTGGTGTTTTCTTAAAATGGCCATAACTTGAAAATTGAAGTCAGAATCACCTCAAACTTTCTACACAGCATAAAAACATCAATATGTATCAGCAAAATGTAATAAAAATCTGGGCTGATTTTGGAGCCATTTTTTGGAAAAAACCATGGGCTATAGCCTTGGGTATTTTTCAGAATTTTGGCGCTTTCTTAAAATGGCTGTAACTTAAAAAATTGAAGTCGGAATCACCTCAAACTTTCTACTCAGTATAAGGACATCAATACGTACCAGAATATCTTATAAAATTTGGGGCGATTTTTCGGCCAATTTTTGGAAAAAACTAATATGGACCATAGCCTTGGGTATTTTTCAGAATTTTGGCATTTTCTTAAAATGGCTGTAACTTAAAAAATTGAAGTCGGAATCACCTCAAACTTTCTACACATCATAAGGACATCAATATGTATTAGAAAATATAATAGATATTTGGGGTAATTTTTTGGCCATTTTTTGGACAAAAATAATATGGACTATAGCCTTGGGCATTTTTCAGAATTTTGGCGTTTTCTTAAAATGGCCGTAGCTTGAAAAATTGAAGTTGGAATCACCTCAAACTTTCTACACAGCATAAGGACATCAATATGTATCAGAAATTGTAATAAAAATTTTGAGTGATTTCGGAGCCATTTTGTGGAAAAAACCATGGGCTATAGCCTTGGGTATCTTTCAGAATTTTGGTGTTTTCTTAAAATGGCCATAATTTGAAAAATTGAAGTCAGAATCACCTCAAACTTTCTACACAGCATAAAAACATCAATATGTATCAGCAAAATGTAATAAAAATCTGGGCTGATTTTTGAGCCATTTTTTGGAAAAAACCATGGGCTATAGCCTTGGGTATTTTTCAGAATTTTGGCGCTTTCTTAAAATGGCTGTAACTTGAAAAATTGAAGTTGAAATCACCTCAAATTTTCTACACAGCATAAGGACATTAATATGTATCAGATAATGTAATAAAAATTTGGGGTGATTTTGGAGCCATTTTTTGGAACAAACCATGGGCTATAGCCTTGGGTATT